GTGTCCAGACACAACCTGTTAATGTGACCTTTTTGATTAAAAGCATCCAGTTAACCAGTGAATTGCTTCTGGCCACTCCTGGCCTGGTGCCAGTTACCAAATTCTAGTACATTTGTTTAGCACATATATCTATGGTTTTAATGTTGTTTTCTTGTTGAAGTGGACAAATTATACACACACACACACACATATATATATATATATATATATATTTCTCAATTCTGCCAGAGTTTACACAGCCGGATTCAGGCAGTGGGTCTTATGATCAAGACACTTTCAGGGGTTACACAGACAGCAGACTAAACTTCACATACATTACAAACCAGGGACGGGCGGTGCATCTGGCCTTCAGTGGGAAACCCTCAATCCAAACTTGTTCCTAACCCTTTGATATATATATATATATGCCGTGTGTTTCAAGCAGCAGGACCAGCACATCTTGATGCATCTGAGTGTCATGATTTTATCTAAGGCTCGGACCCACATGCAGTGAAACCAAACAGAGAGACACAGATGAAAAGTTTAACAGGTTTTATTGAAGCGGTTAAGCATTGGACAGGATTGCTCTGAACACTGCTCTGCCGGAACTGGAAGGTGAGGGGAAGACAGACTATTAGTTCAGGCTCAGTGGGAAATTTCATTTGTTAATTTAAAGAAGAGCAACTGGTTTTCGACTCACGTTTCCAGAGAAGTGAAGGATCTTTGACTCCAATCTGTGTGCTGTTTTCCAGAGTTTGTCTGATTCGGTGGAGGGTGGAACAGGGTTTACCCTGAATTCGGACAGTGTAGGTGAACAGAGATGCTGATTGCCACTCAGATTTCCTGCTGTACTTGAATGGGTCAAAGTGAAGATGATTCCCTTGCTCAGAGAGTAATTTCAACGTCCTCTAAAGGAGACTGGATCCAAACCTCCTGTTTGAATCCCTGACTCAGTTTAAGGCTCAGTTGATCCCTCCTGGGAGAGGGGGTCCGAAAAGGTCCAGTTTGTAGGATGACTTCCTGCCAAGAGGCAAAGACAAAACAAAGTTAAAACTCAGGTAGACAAGAGCTCATTCTTACTCAGCAAAAACTCAGCTTGGCTAGAGTACCAAAAACTGGCAAACACTCTGGCATCGAGGTAGTGGCAATCAGCAGCTTAAGAGCACTCCGTTAACGAGGTAACCGTCAGCAGGTGTGTGAGGAAGCGGACCGGAACCAGGCGCCTCCTGTTGGTGGAAGGGAGACAACACAAAAGCAAAAACACAGACTGGAGTCCTGACTCTGAGGTCACGCCTAGAGAGCTTCAGAGCATTTGAGCCACTTACGCACTTCACATTGAGTAAATGCAGGAGTTGGAAAAATTTTACTTTTGCTGATCAATGTGCCACATTAAACAATCAGAGATGCTCAGCTGGCAGGGAGACAGAAACACCCTAGCTAATGCAGATCACTATGATCACTCCACTGAAACAGTTCAATGCCTAAATTAACTTAAAATGTCAAAACCTGCCAGTAAAATATGTTTACTTTTATTATTCTGGTGCCTGCAGTTTGTAGCACATACCTGAAAAATGCTAATAACTACTCCCAGTAACCATGAAGAGTAGGGGAAAACTCTTTAGAGGCGACCGGGTCTGAAACAGCTGCTGCTGGATCCTAGTGAGAACGCACCACCATTATGTGGGTTTCTGTGCGGCTCCTACAGCAAAATAAGATTTCGTAATCTTGATGAATTGACTGCACAGACAATTGTTTCAGGTTGCTTTCTTACATAAAAATATATTAAAACTACATTTTAACCACTGATCACAGCAAATATAGCAAAGGCAATCTCTGCTATTGAACACACAGGAGCAACACAAGCATCAGATGCATCTGTACACAGATTACTGGACGCGCTTCAGGAGTGTCAAGGATGGTCTTGTGGCTGTGTCTGACCTTAATGTGTACAAGCATCAGAAATGATCAAATAATCAAAGTATGTGTGGTGTGAAAGTAGGCTTAGTAACTCCATTCATTGAGGCCAGAAAACGTTTTGAAAAAAGCTAATCTAGAATGCAGACTGTCGCTATAGCTTAACTTGGCTGTAAACATTTCACTCTAACTGACCAATGAAAGGACAAAGAATGTGTGCCTGCTAGCTGTTCCTTTGCTCATTACATTTGAGGGTCGCTGAAAACAACAGACTGAACAAACTGATCAAAAGGGCCGGTGAAGTTGTGAGGGAGCAGCTGGACACCCTGACCACTGTGGCAGAGAGGGGGATGCTGTCCAGGTTTCAGTCCATCTTAGACAATGTCTCACATCCTCTCCACGACACACTGGTCCAGCAGACGAGCTCCTTCAGCAGAAGACTCTTCCTACCCAGATGCACTACAGAGCGCCACAGGAAATCATTCCTTCACTTTACTTTGATTTTCATTTTATTTGGATTTAGCTTTTACATATGCATAGATATATGTACAGATATATATACAGAAGAGCTATATGTGTATATATTTTATCTCTTTTTATTCCTATATTTTATCTTTATTATATTGTATAGTTGGATGTGTGTATATACTATATAAAACTGTAACTGGAGCGTGTAGTAAGTAAGTAATTTCCCTCTGGGATTATTAAAGTATTTCTGATTCTGAAACGTTACCAACTATGACCAAGAGTCATTTAATGGAATCCTGATGTCTATTCGCTGCTAGCTATTTCAAAGAGGGTAAAGAATCATTTAACCGAAGATTATTGATTCCTGATTAAGCAAATCATTCAATAAAGTATTATTTAACTAAACAGTGTTTTATTCATCTCATGGATTTGCATTGTGAATTGGTTTGAAAGCATTCTAATTACTCTACTGTAAATTTGTGAAAAGCTAATTTGATCAATCCCAAATTCTTCCAGATAAACTTAGGTTTCCAAACACAAAATTCATCTTAAAATGTTTCCCTTTTCCTCTTTGTACATAGTTTAGTGGAGTTTCACTAGTTTTAGTTAAGTTCTAAACTAAAATATGTTTGACTTTGAGCTGAATGATTTTTGTTAATAAACTCTTATATTGTAAACAGAAGTTGTGGTGAATTTATTCCATGTATGTGCAGAATTATCTGTTTGACCATGATTTGAGCTCGAATCCGTTTTTCATTTATTGTTCTAACACAGAGCAAGTAGGGCGTGTGTTCATAAACAGTATATAACAGCCCAAATGATATCTGACTAAATAAGATATTTACTGCCCCTACCGGGGAGGCCAGTACACATCTTAAAGTATCTGAAAATATGAATTCACAGCTGGCTGGGAATTGAATATAACAGTTATTCACAACATTAATATGGCTTCCAACCTGGATGGGCATTGAATATAAATTCACAACAAAAGTTAAACTTGAAAATTGATATTGTTTTCATGGGGTACCCTTGTATTTTGACTGTATTTTTGAAAGGGAAGATAACATTTTTTGATAAGTAAGAGACATTTTTTTTCCCAATGACTGTTCTTCGTGTAAACGTCAACCAGTGACTTTGTTGTGCTTAGAGTTTGCCAAATGTTGTTGCAAGCGTAGCGAAATGTCAGAATTGTGTAATAGCTCCTCTAGAGGTTGGATAGTGGACTAAAGAATAAGGCTATCATGCAGATGGAAAAAACAACAATAAGCAAAATGCTTTTAGAACAGTGGACCGGTTAGGTATATTACTCAAAGCTTCAGAAGATGCTAAAAACTGATTTAAAAAAAAATATTAAGTACAAAATAATTATTAAAAAATTTGTTTAACAAATGAGGGATGTGTCCCACCTGTTTTCTAGGCAATGTACTGTACTCACAGCACTTAGACACAACATAATCACAGTCACCATGGAAACTGAAGGCCGATTTGTAATATTGCCACAAAAGGATTCACATGTAGCTGTGATCCTTTATTATCCTCCATATAACTGTATTGATCCAGTACTCAGTTACTCTCACCACCCAGAGTGTTACACACATTAGGGGCAAAACACTGGCTGAATTAAGTTTTTTAGCAAGCGAGAGGAAACAGTAGTAAATTATTTACTTTAATACAGGATGATTTACATAGTAACCTGTCACTCCTCATGCTTTAGAAATCTAGTTAAACCTAAATTATGGAAAGCTGAATTTTGTCATTTTTATATTGTTTTAAAATCTTTAAAACAGAATTTATGTTTAAAAAGAGTTCTAATATTTAATTAGCAGAGCTAGCTATGGGTGATGGGTCATGGTCTAACATTCAATGCATGCTCTCCACTTTTTTTTTCTTTCATTGCTCAGTTCTCAGTCAGTGGTTTCCCTCTGCCTGAGGCAGAACTTTGTTTAGGTTGAAAGCATTGTTGCCTGGTGGCGAATTACACCGGAGGATATGAGATAATACCATTTTGTGAAAACCAAGAGGGGAACAGCGGGAGATTGCTTCTTTATCTGGTATGGTTCTGTTTGGGGATTTGTTTAAAATGAATTGTTCTTTTTCTTATTTGTTACATAAAAAATTAAAGTTTGAATAAAATATTTTTTTTAAAGTTAGGTATGTATCTTTTGTATCAGAGAAAATACCTGAAAATAAGCAAGTATGGATTCTCATAAAAACACTAAGTGAAAATATGATTATCTTAATATCTAAACATATTATCCAACTAAAGCTAAAATAAGTTGTTAAAAATAATAATAAACAAAGCTGTTTAAAAAAAATAGCCACCTTTTTTGGAAGCCAAACCTCAAGAGCTGGATAACTGAAATAAGTTAAGCAAGACCGGGGCAGGTGTCAGTGGAAACTTTTAAAAAAAAAGAAAATAGCTGCCTTACAGGAGTCTTACAGTTGCCAGTTTATTTACACAAACATATCTAATCTTGTTTTTTAATACTATGCTCATAATCCCAGAACTGTTTTGACTATTACAATAAAGCTACAAGGAACTTCTACATTTGACCAGAGCATATGTGCTGAACAATCAGAGCAGAAAAACCTTTGTGTAACCCATGTTAAAATCTAACATAAATAGGGATCTAATAGGGATAAGTAGTTGGTTAAAAGTCTGTAGACAGAAATAACGTCGCTGTCCCTTTAAGAAACCAGCGTTGCAGGTGCAGTGTCTGGGTGACGCTGCAGTACGCAGACCCGAAGGAGAGAGCAGAGGAGGAATCGGAAAAAAAAGACCGGTGAATAATTAACAGAGAAAAGTTTATATTTTAGTAAACAAAACATAATTTACCTGGTCGGGAACTGACGAGGATTTTATGAGAACTAAGCCATATCGATTTTGGTGAGTTTTGTGTTTATTTTTCTGTATTTTCATTGTGTTGTAATTTTTCTGTTGGTGGAGAGTTATTAACTGTTATTCAGTTAATATATGACGTTTATGAAGAAGAATTTATTTGTATAATTTGAGTATTTAAAAAGAGTTTTATTGTGTTTTTGGCCTGTTACACAGGTCAGGTTTTTTGTTCGGTTGGAAGCTTGGTCGGAGCGAGGATTAATCTGCCATGTGCGGCGTGCACATTCACAGATGGGATTCAAGATGGCGAGCCAGACCTAGACCTTCAATTCATCTTCTCCATTGAGGGAGGGACTTTCCCGCGTGTGGTAATCCCCTGCCGGAGTGGTAGGGATATCAGAAACTAGTTTGAACTGAACTAAAAAAAAAGAACTGAAGACTGATTGAATTATTATTTTTTGGACTGAATCAAACTGATTCTTTTCGTCGAGCTGATATTTACATTTAGACTTGAACTTGAATTTAAAGTGCCATACTTTGATTTTCATATGTTTATTTTCTGAATGTGATTTGAGTTATTGTGGTACACTTGATTTAAATGTGTTTGAAGGTTATTTTGCAACCTGTAAAAGAACGGAAAAGAGTTAACTCAGGAAAAATTTAAATCTTAAAATAGGTGCAACCTATGAAAAAGAGACTGGTCTAATTAATTCAAATTAGTCTAATTAAAATAACCTAGGTGAACTAAAGAGCAAAAAGAAAGAGTGATATATTCTTTTTTTTCCTTCTCCTTTTTCCTCCCCATTTCTACTTACCTCATTATTAAGAATCTGCAGAGTATTTTTGGTTTCATGTATTGTATTTTATGTGTGTTTTGCATTCATTAAATTGCCGGCCGTTTTCACTTAAGCAGCGGTCTCTGGTGCTATTATTTTGCTCCCCACTCCTTAGAGCCTAGAACTGGTCCAGTGGCGCAGTTAGTGGTGTGATACCGGTGCTACATTTGCATCACATACAAATTTAAATAATAAATAACATTCAGGTTTTCTGTGACACTGAACTGATCTCATCATGCCACAACTCAAGACCAGATTATTTTTATCTGAAAACACAGCATATATTGTGTTCCATAAGTGCTATAAATGTGTTTATGTGTGTACTAAAGTTTTATAAGTGGTATTTTATAACGGTGTGTGTATATGCAATTTGCACATGAACTGTCTATATGTTCAAAATATTTTAATTTTTTTTTATGAAAATCAAATAACAAAAACAAAACAGTAAAATGATCCAAAGGTATTAGCATGAGGAAATTTTGGCTTTTAATCAGGTTATTTAGATTAATATTTACATAAAACACATGTGGATGTGCTGTTGGAATGCCACCTGAACTCTTGTCTCAATGAGAAAATGCCAGATGTTCAAGAGCAAGTGAATGTAACACAAAATGATCTGCCAGGTATTTAGATAGCAGAACCCTCTTGTGTTCTATTGATGTCAGAGACCAACTGATAAGTACACAGGGCAACATTGTTTAAGGTAGGATGGTTCAATGGTGGGTATATTTCTTAAGAACTGTTTATTGAGGTTTTACATAAATAAACAGTGTTGGATAAAGCATAAGCAAAGATGAACACTTTTGAGAGTAGACCCCACAGATTAATATCATAGCTTTTGACTTAATCAAGGTGAAACTGCTGTACATCCTTAGAACATTTGAATTCTGTGTATTTATTTTATTTCTGGGCTGCTCAGTAAGCAGTGTGTAGCACTGCTGCCTTGCTTTGAGAAAGTACTGGGTTCGATTCCCAGCCTGGGGTCTTTCTTCATGGAGTTTGCATGTTCTCCTTGAGCATGTGTGGGTTTCCTCCAGGTACTCTTGCTTCCTCCCACAGTCCGAAAACATGACTGTTAGGTTAATTGGTATCTCTAAACACCTCTTTAGGTATGAGTGTGTGTGTGAATGGTTGTTTGCCCTGTTTTTCTCTGTGTTGCCCTGCGATGGACTGGCGACCTGTCCAGGATGTACCCCACCTCTCGCCCGTAGACACCTGGAGATAGGCACCAGCACCCCTCGCGACCCCACTTGGGATTAAGTGTATTAGAAAAGGGATGGATGGATTTATTTTCTGAAAAGTGTGCTGAAGTTGAAATATTCCACTTATTTTGTGTGCTTAATAAATATATTGCGACTGAAGTACTTTATTTCATGAGAATTCGATTAATTGTAATTTATTAATAACAAAGCACATTTTAACCCTCTCCCAATACTACTTTAAACAATAGTTGAAGAAGAGGGTCAGGTTGATGTGAAACTGCAATATAATGATGAGGTCATAAAAACTCTTAAGCTTTTAATTTAGAACAAATATTGCAGTTCTTTTAAAAAGTTGAATTTATCACCTTTATAGATTTTAACCAAACATTTTATTTAAAATGGCTGCTTCCTCATGTTCTAGTAATGTACAAACTCATGTCAAGAGTTTCTACAAACAACCATCCATCCATCCATCCATTATCTGACACGCTTGTCCCAATTGGGGTCGCGAGGGGTGCTGGTGCCTATTTCCAGCAGTCAATGGGTGAGCGGCAGGGTACACCTTGGACAGGTCTCTACAAACAACCAATCCTGTTATTCCTAATTAGATCTAATTCTTCTTTCCAATAGTAGAGGTATTGTTGGCAGCACACTATTGAAGATGAGATACTGAATGCTTATAAAACTCCACAAAAATACTAGAAAAAAAATTAATATTATCCATCCATCTTCTGACACACTTTTTCCCAAGTGAGTCACTGCTGGTACCTATCTTCAGCTGTCTACGGGCGAGAGGCGGGGTAGACCCTGGACAGGTCGCCAGTCCATCGCAGTGAAATATTATCCTTACAAAGTACCACAAATCAAGCTATCAAAGCATTATAGCTCAAGGGGCAGATTTGATGAACGGAAACATGTCTGTCTTTGCCTTGAAAAGTTAGCAGGCCACTGAGAACGTAGGGCCGCACACTAAATAATAACGCTCCCTACGGATATGCACCAACTTGGAGTAAAATATAGTTCACTGATGTCATGACTCTGTTGACACTGTCTTTCATGGTTCGTCTCCATTTTTTTTTTATGCCAACAGCAACTTCTAGACATAAGCTCTGCATTCTCTACTGCTGCTCTGCAAATTTATATAAAATCATGTTTGAGTTTAATATAAGAAGTGTTTTTTACACTTTTATTGAAATAATGATTGCCCATAAGCACAACAAATGGGAATAAGATCCGAGGCTTGAGGGCCTTCAGGAGGCAAAGAGTGAATAAAAAAAATAAGTTTTATTAATATCATGCTATTAATGAGTGGAACCAATATCAAAAGTGGTGCGAATACAAACCTGATTCCATGCCATGCATATTTTCTGATAATTTGTTTAAAATTAGATTTGAGTTTGAATTTTATATTGCATACAATATTGTATACACACAGAAACAGACAATTGGTGTTGAATTTCATTCTGCTTCATAATAGAGATAACAAAGAAATGTTAGCAAGGTTTGACAGTAAAGTTTATTAATTGAACAACCATGCTGACTGAACATATCCACAATCACATTACAAGCCCCTAATACCTCCAGCAGGCTTATCGTCAAAACTTGATGCTCAAGTGACTTCAAATCCAGTTTACTCTGTATTTTTATCTTCAAAAAAATCTCCTAATATATAAATGGAACAAAAGGAAATTAAATAAGACTGAGCTCAAAAACATTCATTCTTATTTTTTCTTAACAACATTAGTGCCCGGATGAAATCTCTTCTGTGACCTTCAGACAAGTGTCCAATAACAATGTATTGCATCTGTAAGTTATTCACATTTGAATACATACAGCTTAAATTTCCATTAACCATGTGATGACCAGTGTATGTGTTTCTGTGCATGTTTGAACTTGTAGTATCAAATTACATTTTAACGTCTCCTATTGAGTCCAATTATCCGTCACTCTGGATGACGTGGAACAGAGTGACATTGTAGAGCACTTGGTGCCCGTTGTTCCAGGTGTAAAGCGCCCTCTCCCTAGGATTGTAGTCCATCATGCTTATGTGGGAATACTGGTTATGAAAGGGGATGTCAGTATACTCGTATGTTGAGGTGTTGGTGTTGTAGGCAAAGTGGACCTTGGCACCAGCCAGGTGAGAGTTGGTGACGTACAGGGTGCCACAAATCATGAAAGCCTCCCCTGCACTGCGCTTTGGAAAACCTGTATCCCAACTCTGGAGGACTTCCAAGGAACGGGGATCCAGGCGACTTACCTGAAGACAAGAATGGAAGAGTTTAGTTATGTCAGCTCAAACAGTTTCATATGCACCACTGCAGCTGATGAAAGTGCTGAGTTGCTATGGTGATGTTGCCTGTTTTTATGGTCTCAGCAATTGTTACACTGAAAGAAAGGAAGCCTTTTACCTCCTTAGTAAAAAACAGAAACTAAGTGCACTTGACAATTTACTGAACTCCAGTAGTTTTAACTGGACAGGCTATTAGCTTTGGCTTTACTGCAGCTTTCTGTCAATATATCTGATAGAAAAACAACATCAGAAGTACAGAGTGGTTGATTTAAAAAAATGTGGAACTATCAATGATTTTTTTTGTATGTGAACGAATGGAATTTCATAATATTAGGTAATGCTTTTCAAACCATACAACATAATAAAAAGTGGCTGAGGGTTCTTTATAAACAACAGCCAGAAATCCAATGCCTCATTAAACTACACAATCTCAGAGGTGAACTTTTACTCTCAAAGCAGTCTTTTTGCTTGGAATTTGCAATGACCTTGTAGGACTATGGATTTACAGAAAACAAGCTCTTTTAAAAAAAAAGTGGTGACATATTGGACGTATTGCTAAGTGAAAAAGCTATAAAACTTTTTTTTTTTTTTTTTTACAGTCCTCCTCATCCAATGTGGAAGTACACTCTGCTTAATCCAACAAGTTATTTTACTTTATGTTGTGTTCTGTTTGGTATATGCTTGCTGCTTATATGTTAAACTAAAGTTGGTGCTATGTACATGTCTAAGTTTCTGTATTTGAAAGAATAGTACTGTGTTTAATCCTAAGGCCAATCCCAGGCTGATAGAACAACTTGTTATGACTCAATTACTGGCACAGCTAAAAACAAAAAAAACAAAAAAAGGTTTTTGAAACAAACCTCCACAAATACCCAGGCTTAGACTTAAACAGCACTGGATTGGACCTAAAAGTTGGGTATTAGAATTCACCATCAGCAACGAGAAGCGCGACAGTTCAGTCTAAAGAACATGGGTGGCTTCAGCCAATGAAACTAGCGTTAGCGTGGCTATAGAGCAGGTTTTATCGGAATTACAGAGTATTTCTTCACTTAAAGAAGAGCAAAACACTGCTCTGGAGGCTTTTCTCAGAGGAAAATATGTTTTTGCTCTTCTCCCGACTGGTTTCGGCAAGAGTAGCCTGGCTTGTGGTTGTGTTTTTGTCGTCGCTCTGTTAGTACGTCATATACTTCGTTGATCTGATTGGTTTATTTGGCCCGTCTATCACCAACATAGGCCAATCAGCTAACCAGTATTTTCGCCCCTTCCGAAAATTACTTCAACGGAAGGTTTCCAGATGGATATGCGGAGCAAATCCATCTGGCGGAGTCAGGTTAGTTTTATTTTTAGAAAAAAGATAAGTCTTGGCATGTAAAAAGTGGCCCCCTATATGATGATTAACATCTTTGGATATTTAATTCACATGGACATACTCTAAACATATCTTTTAAAAGTCTCTCTTTGGAAAGAGAAGATTGTTTTTCATTATCCAAACCTGAGGTGGACAATCCAAGTTCAGAAAGCAAAAAATCTGCACAGATATTATTTTCAACCATTTGTATTATCAAGTCTACAATAGACAGGGATTAATAACCTTGTTCAGCAAACAGAATAAAGTAAAAAGGGGTTTACTTTCTGGACATAAAATGCACCTCTGTCCAAAAACCTGTTTAGGTATGGATGGAAAAGGGGAATGCAGGAGAAAATATGAATTTTGAAAAATATCCATAGTAATGGAGACAGGGCCTTGTTGAAAAACGACTGCAACTTGTTAAAATTCAAGGAACCCATCCACCGAAACACTAACACAGATCTTCAAGATACCTCCTTGTAATGTACCCCAAGAGAAAATATAAGAAATGCAATTAAAGCCTTCGTTCTGTTGATCCCGTCAGAGTTTACCCACAGAGTCTTTAGCCCATTGATTGTACACTAAATAAATAAATAAATAAACCTTTTTTTCAGCATTTTTTTTATTGTAATTACACTGTCACAAGTACAGAGCAACGAAATGAACTCTCTGCATTTAACCCATCCCTCTTCGGGAGCAGTATGAGGGTTAAGGGTCTTTGCCCAGGGACCCAGAGTGGCAGTCTGTGGGAGTGGGGCTCCAACTCAAGCTCCACTCTATGCTGTAACACCTAGGCCACCACTCCCACCTTTTTGTGATGGCAACTAGAAATAAACTTTAAAAATATAAGGGTTTTAAAGAATGTATAAAAATATCATTTCAAGTTTAATGCACTTAATGTTTTGTACACAAATGCAGTTCTGACCTCCTAATAAGCAAGAAGTACTGTATTTCCTGTGTCATTTCAAAATAAGAGTCTGAAATTGAAAGCAGTCCCCTTCATACAATTCCTGAGGCACATGATACCTTTGATAAAAACAGCACTTATCTGATGGTTACAAGAGAGGCTTTATTTTGACAAGAAAACTTTCAGTGTGTCATGACTACTGATTGTAATATGAGGATCTTTTTACAACCCTTGCGCATTATCTTGGTAAAGGAAAAGCCCTGATTATAAAGTAAAAGCTTTATTCCATTCTGCCATTTTAAAGTTTGCTGTAGTGAAGCTGTTTCTTCAGTACTTTGACTTTTCTTGGTTGTAAATAATGTTGCTTCTCATTTAGATAAAATAAATAAAAAAAGGTTTTCTCTTTTATTGTATTGTAGACTCAGGGACATTTTTCTTCCCGTCCGTCTGTCAGCATTGCATTGAATCCCATCCATCAATTCCAAGACTGTTGTCACACCTGCATACATAAACTCTTCCTTCTTTTCTTCAAACTAATGCAAAGAAGTTTTAATGAGCTGATCTTTTACAAAATATGCTTTAATGAATTTACAGAGAACACTGAGAGAAAACTGCTGACATCAGGTCATCTTAAAAACCATACCATGATGTTTCCTGCATTTGGGATGGAGGTGTAGACCGCCCATAGTCCTGTCTCATCAGCCATCAGGTCTATGTCTGATGATCCTCCCCAGCTGTAGGGGAAGGTGTTGTTGTATCCAGCTCCGCTAAGACTGCGCTGCAGCAACACACTGCGGGAGCGGAAATGGTACTGAACCTAAAAACACACAGTATTTCTTTCAGAATCATTCCTACATCATCAACTTTCAATCATAACATTTTCCAACATAATATTTATTGGCTTTGAGACTTGGCAAAGTAGATTAAATGTAACATATCACATACATCTAGTACATGACTGCAGTTTTACCAACAAAGCAGTCAGTAATTAGGTTTTTGATCTAATATGTAGAATCATCCATAAAACAATACATCATCTTACTTTACTGAATGAATAACAGATCCTTCAGTATTTCTATGTGATTTTTATAACATACAGTATGGGCCAATAATAGTCAATACCAACAGTAAAGGGTCTGATTCACAAATAAAACAATACTCTTGTTTTATAATAAAGTTCTGTTCCACTCTGTCTCATCTAGAGCTAATATCCTTCTTTTTGTGTGTCAGGTCAGCTGATATTAATATTATAGAGCAGCTTGATATAACCATGACCTTTTTGCCGTAAATGCAGCAGCCACGAGAAGTAATACAGAAATAGAAAATGTTATTTTCTTGTGACTTTAAAGATTTAACAAGAATGCCTTGGGAAAAGCATTTTTTTAAGTAAGATTTTTTTTTTTTTTTTTAAAGCTACATTAAAGCAGTTGTGATTCAGTTGAGATTCAGATTCAGCATTCAATCTCCTTTTCTAGCAGATTGTTAGGATTTGGAGATGTTAAGTCTGAAGTCTTAGGTAATTTGCTTTAAAAAGAGACTTTCTCAGGATGTGCTTGATTTTGCACCTTTTATCAATGATTTAGATACTGGTACCTTTATTTGCCAGTCCTTACTCAGTCTTTGTTGTAATCGCTGTGTAAGATTGTAGGAACATCTCTGTTACACAGTGTTTGGCCGAAAAAAATTTTAACAGATAGAGAACTGGAATCTTACTTAGCTAAAACATGTTTGTTGTTCTTTTTTAATTAATCAATATTATACTTTCTAGCATTATACAGCATGCTAGAATTTTTTTTAAATCTTAAAATAAACTCAGACTGCTGTAAAGTGGTGCTCTGGGTCACATGGCTTATTCGGCAATGCTTTAAAGTTACATAGGCGAGTTTTTTAGAAGGGCAGGCTGCACGAGGGGGCAATACATTCCAAGTGCTGTGTGTTTAGCTGAAAAATCATTTTAGACATATCCAATTCAGCTAATGCTTGTGTCAAAACTGACAGTTTACCTTTAACTTGGTATGTGTGATAAAATGAAGAAAAATACTCTGTTGAGCTGTATTTTTGGGGTAAAGTCAATGAACGGAAGATGAACTCTATCCCTATTTTACTTTATTTTTTGAAACAAAAGCCTAAAAGTATTTTGCAAATCAGCCGCAGATACTGATATCATAGATACAGATATCATAGCTGCATTTGCATATTTTAGAAAGAAGAGCAACAGTGTCCATAATGAAAAGTGTCACTGAAGAAAAGCCATGGTTATAAAAGAACATTTTAAAGCAGTATTACATCATTAATTGGCTGATTGCATCCTCAGGTTGCATATGCTCACTCATCCACATGCTCCTACCAGAATGTTGCTCTGGTGCTTGTTGTAATAGAGTGATCCATTGTAGACTACATGGCCAGTTCCTGCCCAGGGATGGGGCAATAGGTGCTGCACAAAGTTTTGACCTTTTGTGAAGTCCCCCATAGTCCTGTACTCCAGCACACGCCTGCCCTTATAGTAGCCATCCATTGACCACACCTTAGGGAGAGAAAAGAGGTATTTAAACTGGCATGCATTTAGAGATTTTGGGTGAATTACACATTCTCTAAAAACTTAATTTGCACCTTTTTTTTCTTGTAGTTTTCTTCCTACACTCTAGATTTTTTGAAGTTGTTTAATTGTTTGCTTCATTCAGTCAATGTTAACACACTTGCAGCTTTTCTTTTACTTTTCATTTCCAGCACTTAAGCTGGTTTACTATTATTTTTTTTGCCTGATAATTGTTATTTCCTTTCATTTTGTCGTCGGTTTTCACTTGAGGTTGATCTTTTTAAGCACAGCTTTCAACTTTTGTTTTGTAGCTTTGCAAAGCATTTCATTGAAGTTTTTTTTTACTCATCACAGTTAAATATTTAACAGCTACTCACATAAAGCTTTTTCCTTGATTAGTTCTACAGTTGGATCCTTCTCTGGCTAGCCAAGACAACGCAGTGATCTTGCAGTTTCCTGTTTAATTATCTTTGATGGAACAAAAAAAAAACTTCTTAAATTAGTAGTCATCCATCATTTTCACTCCTTTTTTACCAGTTCCTCGGTTATACAATCCCACAATGTAAACCCCAAACACTGCACTACAGAATTAACAAGAGGTACATAAAAAAGGCAACCAATGACAACTTTACAACCAGTTGTTACTCCCTCGGACTGACATGATAAGTACAGGCTAGGTCCAGTAAAAGTCAACATGTGGGGCTCGATTTCCACCTCAAAGGCATGTAAAGTTTTGCATATGGAGATGCTTTCTGAAAATGTGGAGAAGAATAATGGATGGTAACAATTGTTTTCTTATTCATTCAAAAACAGAAGCACTTCCTTCAGACGGGCATCACCAGCCACCACAATTAATAACTCTAAAGATTTTATTGTAGAAACACATATTAAAGTTTTCTTTGGGTTGCAGGAAGTTGAAAACAAATCTAAAATACATCAGAAAAGTTGCTATTATCAAAGATGTGTTGCCTGAAAATGATCCTCCATCAAAAATCACACTAAAGATTGTCTGTGGTAAAGGGGAAACTTTTTTTTTTGTTTGTTTATCTCCATCTGGTGAGTAATTGCAAGGTTTTTTTCCATAATGCTCTGAAAAAGCTAATGGAGATCATTTCACAGCCGTATGCTACTCATCTCAGTGATGTGTGGCTTTAAAAGAAAAACCATTATCATACACTTCAAGTAAAGTTTTTTTTTTTTTTTCATCCATTTGATAATGCTAGAGTTTTGCCCCAGAAGAGCATGTAATATACTGTAGACAGAGATTTACAAAAGTTAAAACTCCTCTCATACTTGCTAACATTTTGTTACATGTCAACCACAAATGAATGTTCAATGTTTATCAGGATTTTATGCAACAGACAAAAAGTATTGAAAGTAAAGTATTGTGTTAAGTGTGAGAAATGACATACGGTTATAAAAAATTGAATTGCAGTGTGTATTTTTATTTAACAACTTAAAGTTGATACCCCCAAAGCAGGGCAACCTTTAGAATGTAATTTATTAAAACAGTTTTTCAAAATTAACTTCCAACCTGATGTAATCTCAGTCAAAGTCCTTTTGTTATTAAAATTTTTTTTGTTTGTTGTTTATCTGAAAGCCTCAAAGGTTTGTCAGACAACTTTAGAAAACAGATAAATAGGATCAATGAATATAAAAGCAGTTTGGACAGCCCGGCGTTAAATACTTCTCCTGGAAATACAAAATATGGCACAATTGCTAACTTAGCGGGGCATCCAAAACAACATCCAAACTAACATTGTGCATCACTCTGAAAGCATCATCTTAGTAAAACCGGGTTGAAACATACTATTTTAGCAAGAACTAGGATAGAGCTAATAAGGGAACTCTGTAGAAAATGTTTTAAAATGTCCAAACTAGACTTTAGGCTTGGGGAAATGTTTACCTGATAATTGGAAAAAGATATTGTATAAACTAAAGCTGCTACAATGGAATGGTTTAGATTAAAGCATATTCATTTGAGAATGCCTGAGTCAAAGTACAAACTTAATGTTCAGAAACAGTCTCCACATTATCTAAGCAATGAAGAATGTGGCAAAAAAAATCTATCTATCTATCTATAAATGTGCAAAGCTGAGAGAGATATACACAAAATACTTGTATCTGTGGTTGCACCAAAACGAGAAGCAAACAATTATTAACATAAATTCCTGCCATTATTTTCAGATCTTGACAGAAAATTTGCTCATTTCCAATTTAGACAATATTACGCAGTAGTAAATTACATAAAATTCTGATCAAATATATTAAAATGAGTGGTTTTAATGAGGCAAAATGTGAAAAGTCCAAAGTAAAATAAATACATTTGCAAAACACTTCACAAATTCTTGTGATAACTAACAACTTCTGGCTTATCTCTGGCATGGTAAATCGCCTTTCACTTTATCTAATATCTCTAATTAGGTTGACCCAAATTTATGTAACGGTCTGATGGAAAGTAAAACCGGATTATCTGAATGCAATCATAAATGCGGTGAAGATTTCCACAAGGGGGATGGAACGATATGAGATGAGTGTGAAGAAGCAACATGATGTGAGAAAAATTGACCGTTGACAGTGTGGAGGATTAATTACCCAGAGGTGAAACAGATGAAAGAGGACTAAAGAACACTGGGAGGAGAAATCATAGCAAGCGAAACAGACACTCATTATTCCAGCTGCAAAAAAGGAAAAGGTTCTGAGAACAGGGAAAATGGAGTCAGATGAATTTCATAAATTATGCTCTCTCCCCTGCAGAGCTGAAAGAAAAACTATTCTTAATCTTAGTGTCAGTATTCAAAATTCAAGTCAGATTACAGACTCTCAGACAAAGGGAATTGATTGCAGACATTTTAGGAGCATTCAGTAGCCCAATGTTTAATTGAAACTTGGTTTGATAGCTTTTTCTTCTTCTTCTTCCAGCTCTCTATACTATCTAAGACAAAACAAAAATTGCAATGAGAGCACCTTGTTTTTGGTTATTATCTCTTATCTAAATGCACCATAGGGTGTTTGGTGCTGGTCCTTAAGGTCTCTGAATACGGTGTCTAACATTGGTTGGGCTGAAAATGGTATATTAGCTGTTCTATGAGCTGTAATCGAAGCCTGGTTATATACCCCTGAATGACAGGTTATCTTCCTTTTATGGTACGCTCTTAAATATTTAGATGAGCTGTGCGCTGATTGGTGGATTTACAACGAGCAAACCTGCTGAGCAAGGTTTGCTCATAACAAAAAGCACTCACTCACTGAAACATCAAATTGTTGATATGGTAGGGTGACCAGACGTGCTCTTTTTCCTGGACATGCTCTACTTTTCATATCTAAAAAAGCCAGGACCACTGTCAACCCGGACATGGTAGCCTGGACAATGGTGGCCGGTGGGGGGAAGCATACCGTCCCCGGCTGGCTCCTTGCCCCTGTCCCCCGAGATTCCCAGTTCTGCTGCACTGTATTCGACAGTGGTTCTGGCTCATTTTCACTAGAGAAACTGCCTGCTTTGTAGTTCTTGCAGAAGTAAACCCAAATGTAGGCTAAACAGCTAAACTAGTGTCTTACATCTACCTCTATTCATGTTCTTGGGTCAGTGAACCAGTGGGCTGGTCTGTATGTCAATTTTGGGGTGTGATAAAAGTACAGGCCAGATCCAAATAAGGCAACATCCCCGAATTGACATAAATTTGGGGCTTTGTTTGGGTCCGCCCGTTTTATGATGAAAGTTTAGAATTGTGAGATTTGCAGAGAAAGGAGGTGTCGATGGGGTTTGAACTTCTCTGTATGTCCATTTACCCACTGAACTATCGTTATTCATCTATGACAAGGGAAACTCGGTTTTGCATTCTATGACCCCTTTAAGGTCCATACAAACAACGTAAACACTATAAAGTGTAATAATATAAATTTGAGGTCAGATTTTTTGGGGCTGCACGGTGACCCAGTGGGTTGTACTGTTACCACCTGAGTTTGCATGTTCTCCCTGTGCATGCCTGGATTCTGTGTCTTAGTGTGTCCCTGTGTTGCCTTGTGACAGACTGGTGACCTGTCCAGGGTATACCCCACCTCTTGCTAATAGACTGCCAGAGAGAGGCACCCGCCCCACTGTGACCCTGAGAAGTACTAAGTGGGAGAGTGGGACAATATGTAGGTAGCTTTTATAAAAATTAATTAGTCCCCTGAATCTATGGGTTACAGGGATACAGGGACCACATATATTTGTTGCTGTTTTTAAAAAGAATGCAAAAAATATTATTCTTACTTATATAGATAAAATAACTCTAAAACTATTTTTCTAGACACTTTTATTTGAGTTACAGGAACTTAGTTGAGGTGTATGTCACTCTTTAATTGGATTGCCAAAGGCACTATTTGAACAACAGATCCTTTTTCTGTGTTGGTGAAGCTTTTCAGTCAATTGTGTTGCAAATTCAAAGCAGGCCAAATAAATTAAATTAGTGGAGTATAAAACCAGGCATATCAGTATGCATGCTGCTCAATTCAGACTGGATATGTGAACAAATTAGACAAACAGATGCAGCAAGCACGTTTGAAAGAAATGTGTTACCTTAACATCTTTCAGAAACTTCTGCAGTGATCCGTCAGCAGTCATGAATTTAATTCAGTTGTGAAAAATAAGGTTATTAAAGCCTAAATTTCCCTACTAAAACATCAGGAAAATAATGTTGCCACACAATTTGATTTTTACATTTATTGAACAGCATTCCCGTGTACTGTAGGAAAATAAAAGACATTGATACAGAGATTGTTGAACTTGAACAAAGGTTTTTAAAGACTTGGCATTAAACAACACAACAAAAGAAAAAAGAAAAACAGCCATACAACAGTAGCAGCTCAGAAAATTGTAAGGATTGACAGGTAGTGTCGTTTTTGGCATGCATCTTTGTGGTATAATACAGTTTTGTGTTTTGAGTGAACATTTATATAAAGTGGGTTAACAAGAAATGTTATAAATGTTGTAAGACAACTGGTCC